GTGTCAGGTATGCTCCGAATCTGGTTTTTAGAGAGATCTACCACATCCAGATGTCGCAGGCTACAGAGTTGAGGTGGTAGTGCTCCCAGCTGGTTCCCAGAGAGGCTCAGGGTCTTCAGGGCAGAAAGCTGCCCAAAGGTAGACGGTAGCTCTCTCAGGTGATTGTTGTTTAGACTTAGAGTCTCTAGTTTTTTCAGGTTACATAATTCATCGGGTAGAAAAGTCAGTTTGTTGTTGTTGAGGGAGAGGCTCTTCAGCAGACTGAACTTTCCTATTAGCAGGGGCGGTAGGCTGTCGATCTTGTTGTTGGACAAATCGATGGTCCTAAGGTTGCTTGTCAGCTTCTGCAACTCTGAGGGGAACTCGGTCAGACCACGGTCTTTAAGCTGAAAGACACCAGTTTTCTGCGCTGTTTCCACATGAGCGCGGAGGGCACTGTTTCCCATCCTAGCGCTGCGGCTCAGTTCCCTTCTGCCTAGCCCTACTTCCTAGGGGGCAGCCAAAGAGGGCGGCAAGGAGAAAGCAGGCTAGTAGACAGCTCTACCACAAGGTCCTGCTGCTCTGGCAGCCGAGCTAAGGCCAGGGAGCCTCCGGGAGCCACTGCGGGATCAGGGAGCTCCAGACTCGCCTCCTATGGCTCAGTGCAGAGCAGGCTCCGCCAGGGAACACCCGGGACCCGCGCTCGCCTGAGACGCGCTCCCAGGGCTTCCGCCCGGGCGGGAACCCCATCTGATTTTTTTTTGCAAAGTTTTATATACACTTGTATTTAAATAAAAATTATTATTATCACTATTACTATAATTATTATTGCTATTACTATATGTGGTATGCGTGTGCATGTGACACAACTCTGTGTGTAAAGTTCAGAGGACAACTTTGTGGAGCTGATTCTTTTTTTCTACTTCTATGTGGGAATTCGGGATTGAACTCAGGTCACCAGGCCTGCACAGCCTGCACAGCCAGCACCTCTTTCTCACTGGTCCACATTTGAATTTTTAAATGCTGAAAAATGTAAAAGTAACTTGTCCATTGTAATGTCTGATCTGAAAGGGATTCCTAAGAATAATATTCAGTAAATGTGTGTTCAAATAGTATCTTCTCAAGATAGCAAAATGATATTTATAGATTCTAGATATTTAATAGATATTAACTTACATATTAATTTATAGATGATTTAATTGATATACCTTAAATATCATTAACTACTAATAAAGATTAAATAATGGGTAGTTAACTATGAGCTAATTGAAAATAAAATACGTAATTTTTTGTGGGCACAATGGCAATTTATCTACTTTTCATATTTAATCTCTTCTTGTTTCCCAAGTGCAACACATTTCAGTGATGTATTACTAAGCTCATTAAGAATAGGCTAAGCAGGTAGTCTTTCCGGGAGTTGATTTGTGTTGGGGAAGTAAGGAAGCATCTTCATTGTGAACTGTACTCTGAATCGTAGGATAAATGAGGAAACACAGGAGTGTTGTGTGGCATATGTTCTTGTAACAGACTTTCTCTTTGGCTTCCAACCAGCTCCCAAATCATGACATGGAGACTTATTATTAGTTATGAATGCTCGGCCTTGTCTTAGGCTTGTCCCACTAGCTCTTATAACCTAAACTATCCTGTTTCTCTTCATCTATGTTTTGCATCAGGGCTTTTTACCTTTCTTTGATTCTGTATGTCCTGCTCTGTGTCTGGCTGGCACCAGGAATCTCCCTCTCTTTCTCTCTTGTTCTGTTCTCCCCCCTTCTCTCCCAAGTCTAGATTCCTTCTCCTGCTTATTCTGTCTGTCCACCAGCCCTACCCATCTCTCTTTATTAGACCAACCAGGAGCTTTTAGGCAGGCAAAGAAACACATCTTTACATCATTGAACAAATGCAGCACAAACAAATTTTTGCCTAGTTAAAGTAATCTTCCGTATGTTCTGAATCTGGGAATGTGCCCACACATGCTCCTTATTGTCACAACATACGTCAAGGCCTCAAGTCTTATTGTCTCACGATATTCAGATAGGAACACTTGGGTAATGGCATAAGTCTTGGAAGCCAAAAAACTGGTTGTATTTTTAAAACTGAGCAACAGTTTTTTGTTTGTTTGTTTTACAGTGGTGATGTCACTTCCATGTTAATATCAGAGCTTCATAAAGTAAAAATTCACATTTGTGACTTAATTTCTAAACTTGGACAAACATTCTCTCTAGGTCTAAATGGTTGCATTGTCACCCATATTTCCTGTGAATAAAAATTACAAAACAGACTTCAGCCCAGTAGGCTAACTGTAGATCTTCACCCCTCCTTCATCTCCTCCAAAACCAATCCTCCAGTCTCATCCCCAGCTCTGTAGCAAACCACCTGCTGCAACCCAACGCCCACAGATCTTCCCTCCAAACCTCCTTCCCCCCACTCACTGTTTTATCCTAGCCCCAACTCCGACAGGCACTGCCTGGGAATCCATAGACCATGTCATCCAGGGAAGCAGGTAGGCTAACTGAAGATCTTCGCCTCTCACTCCATTCCTCCAAGTCCAATCCCCCATTCTCATCCCCAGCTCTGGAGACTTTCTGCCATGGTCTTTCCTCACTCCCTGCCCCCCTCCCTCCTGGGGACCCCCCCAGCCTCTTCCTCCTAGCCCATCCCCATTCATTCCTAAGAGTCAGTTCCTAATACCTAGAAACACATTTTCCCTGGAACCCCCAGTGGCCACACCTATGAGGACCCCCAGAAGAATTTCCCATCAGGCATCACAGCCACCACACTCTCCTAAGAACTAGAGAGGGCAACAACCAGGGAACAAACACATTCACCCAACAAAGACCAGACCAGATATCAGCACCTAGAATTAACAATCTTCCCAAACCCAGATGCCCAGACGCCAGTGTAAAAACCCAGTAACAGCCAGGACAATATGTCTCCACTAGGTCCAGCAACCCTACCATAGTAGACCATGAGACCATAGTAGACTTCTGAAGGACAAGAAAAAGTCCTTGGTAGACTTTCTTAACATAATAGAGATCCTTAAGGAGGAAATGAATAAATCCTTTCCATAAAAATCCATAAAAACACAAACAGTGGAATAAAATGAATAAAACAGTTCAAGACCTGAAATTGGAAATAGAATTTATAAAGAAAACCCAAACTGAGGGAAATCTGGGAATGAAAAATTTAGGAGTACAAGCGATGGAACCCATACCCAATACTGCTTGGGTTACCAAGAACCTGACACTAGATAGCCCAGGGACCTAGGATAAAAACTAAACATTAAAAAAAAAAAAAGTAGCCAAAAATGTCTGCTAACAACGTTCTGACATACTCATAGCTCAGTGCCTTACTCAGCCATTATCAGAGAAGCTTCCTCCTGCAGCAGATGAGAACAAACACAGAGACCCACAGCCTGACATTATGCAGAGAGTGTGACCTTGGAACACTCAGGCCTAAATGGGCTCCATTGAATCCCTCCCCTCAGGGCTCAGGGAACCCCAAGGAGGAGGAGGCAGAAAGAGTTTAAGAGCCAGAGAGGATGGAGGACACCATGGAAAAAAGACCCCTAAATCAACATGATCCAAATTCCTATGAACTCACAGAGACTGGAGTGGCATGCTCAGGTTCTCTGCACTAATATTATGTCTTCCAATTTTGATGAGTCTCCTGAGTGTGCGACAAATGGATCTCTGAATCTTGTACCTTCTCTTGGGCTCTTTTCTTTTATTTCTGTTTGTTTGTTTTGTCCAATTCCAATGTGTTAATTTTTGTTGTATCTTATTATATTTTATGATAAGTCTGTTTTCTTTTTTCTTTTTTTCAAGAAGTCTCTTTTCTGATGAGAGACAGAAATGGTGTGGATCCGGATTGGGGGAGGGGGAATTGAGAATAAAAGGAGGAGAAACCACAAGCAGGACATATTATTTGAGAAAAAAAACTATTTTCAATAAAAGGAGAAAATTAAAAAAGCAACGTAGGTCTAGAGGTGAATTGACACTAGGGCATGTGTGATTCCCGCCTCCCCTGAGTCATGTCTGGGAGCACAGCTGGTACAAGGAATACATACTTATCAGGATAACATCAAAGAGAAGTCCACTCGGTATGCTCAATGCAGGTAGGTCACTGTTTTACCCCTCTTTAAGGTAATGTACTGGAGAGATGAGAGCCATGATGAGAATGAATCCTAATTTCTGCTGCAACTTTATACCTCCTCAAAGAAAACGCATCTGTTAGTGCTCCCTTGCCTCCCATACCTCAAAGAAAACACATCTGTTAGTGCTCCCCTCCCTCCCATACTTGTGGTGGATATTTTGTAATTGGTGGGAGCTCAACAGTACAAACCCTGCAGATTTCAGTGGACACATTCCATAATTAGAAGGGAGAATTAATGAGGTACCATGATATAGAAAACAACAACAAACTTCTTGGCATTAAACAAAGTGATACAGAGCTTCTGCTGTTCCCTCCACATCTCTGGCTAGTATTCTATTTGAGTCATTAGCATGTGTGCTGTGGCCATTGAGAGCTGAAGCTTTACACAGGAGACCTCTACTGAAAATGTAGTCATGTCCACCTTTCTATTTAAACTTCCAGGGTCTTGCCCTGAACATGCCACACAGTAGCTTTTGCCTTTTGACCTCTTATTTTTTGTCTCTGGTTTTGGTTTTCTTTAAATCTGTAAGCTGAGAGTGTCAGATGAAATTACATTAGAGATTCCTTTGCGTTGATTTCAGTGAAGGAGTAACATGTTTCATTTGACTCAAAACATCCCACCAGATCTTTTAAAGTTTCTTGGAGCGTTTGTTGCAGCCATTTTCCTTTGAAGCTTTTGTATATTCAGACACTAGACTCTAAAGAACCTCTAAAGTCCCCACTGTTCGACAGAGCGATCCTTAAAACTTCAGAAGTGCGATGTGTAGGAGTAGAAGGGGGTAGAAGTTACAGCAGGAAGTAGAAAACATCCATACATTCATCAGAAAGCTATAGTTCCTCGTCCCTTATTTATTTTTTATTATTTTTAGCTTATAAAATTAATGGCATTCTTGTGTAACTAAATCACTTCATTGCTCTTGTTTACTCCCACTGCTCTGCCTACCCTCTCTCCCCTCTTTATGCCTTTTGAATACCCATTTCCTGTTTTCCTTCATGTTAGCAGAATGAGGGATGGATCTTGGTATTTTTGTTTTCAGTTTTAGCCTACTTTGTTAGTGCCACTTGGGCGCCTCCTGTAGTATTGGTGCTGATTTCTCCTTTTAGAAAGTCATTATGAAGATCTTTGGGATGATTGCCAAGATGCTTAATAAAAACTTGATAGCTAAACTAACTCTTGATTGGAGCTGTGAATAAGCATCTGGGGACCTAGCAGTCACACTCTCAGATACTCACCCCAGTGAATTAGAAATGTACATTCACACAGACACTTCTACACAAATCTTATAGCAGCTGCGTTTGTAACTGATAACTACTAAGGGCATGGAGGAATTTTTTGAGGAGGATTATAGTTGTAGTCACATGATTATAGGTGTTTGTCAAAATTCGTAAAACTGGGTAGTTACAGTAATGGCATTACTTCTAAAAACAAAAACATTTGTTATGCTATAGTTTGCATCTTAAATGTCTGTGAAAGGTCCATATGTGTCATTTGTTATAGATCTGGGTGTGCTGGATAGTTTTATGTCAGCTTGACACAAACTGTAGTCATAAGAGAGGAGGGAACCCAACTGAGAAAATGCCTCCATAAGATG